AAATACACCAAAGAGGATGGACTGCAAAAAGCCTTCTTGGCTATGCTGTTTTAGTCTATTTTAGGGGGGGGTTTTGTTTCATAATTAGGAGTATTTTCAAATCCACAACTGGTATTGCCAAGTGGCCATTTGTTATGCAACTTGTTTACCCTTTTGGTCTACCAGTACAAAGATTGTAACTCATGAAATACCACTTTTTCTATGAAGAGTTGTTTCTTAAGGGAAAACACAGTCTGTGGAAGAAGAGAATAAAGCACGAGCATATAAAAGGATTTCACAGTAAAAAAAGAGTTTGAAATTAAGATATTTCCAAGCTAACTGAAATTAATTTTCGTCTATCCTTTTAACTAGCAGAAAGAAAGGGGAAAGAAAAAAAAACCCAACCCCGAGAACTGTGGAATTAAGAACAATTTAAAGACTGAAGCTGCTTCTCCTCCTTAGCTTAAGCATGAAGAGAAAGTGAGTCAAGGCATTTGGAGTAAAAGGGAGTGTTTCAACCCTGTGGAAACTGCAGGCAAGAAGCTATCAGCAGACACACAGTCTTTCAGGCTCTTTTTCTACCTCCAATTTTGATCCTCCTCCCTTTGAAGCCTATACAAGAATCCTGGACCTTTTGAGATTAACCAACAAGAGAAAAGCAATTTTGGTATTACAGAGCTCAGAGTGATACAACACATTACAACAGTACTTACAAAGGCAATTATATCTCATAAAATTATTTTACTTCTTGTTTTGGTGACTTGGCTCACAGACACGCTATTTCTTACCCTTGACTTATTTGATTAGGAGTTGCTGCAGCTCTGGATTTCAGTACTGGACTGTCTCTCCCTATTCGAAATTTCATTTCAAATTTCCCACACATCTCCCACACACTAGACACCAGCCTTTATATGCAAAGCAAAATATGTGCTCAGTCACGAGCTGCTATGGTGATGGCACACAAACTTGCACTAGGTGCACCACCCAAATATCCAAGCTTCCAGCACATCATCTCCTGCAAGAAAATTCTCCCAAATCTGCCCAAGAGCTTCCCAATGCTGAGAGGCCTCCACTGCCCATGGCAGGATGTGGTTGGGGCTTTTCACTCGTGTGGCGATGAGGTCGTTCCTTCTTCTGCTGGTTTGTTTGTCAGATCATGATTTGCAGATTTTTATTATTAGGTTGTGTTTTTTCTAGTAGAGAGGCAGGCAATGAGGCTGCTGTCTTGCAATGAAATTTCACTTCCCTGGTTTGCACAGATTTTCTACACTACCATATGCAATCTGCTTGGCCTCAGTGACCCTCCCTACCCAGCAGAGATGGTGAGAAAAAAAAAATACATTAAGATTATGGCAGTCTCAGTTGCTACAGTAATAAGGACTTGTTGAAAAGCTCAGTTCATGACCAACACCAGTAGGATGAGCATAAGTGGACACATCCATCCCCAACAGCACAATTTCAGCAGCCAACAACAGTTTAACCACAGCAACACAGCTGGTATCATTTCTCTGCTTCCTTCCCTGCTCAGACCTTTGGTATTTTCTTAATACCCAAACTCCAGTGACCAAGCTTTTGCAAACAATGATATCCAAACCTCGAGCAGTATCCAGAACCATTACACCTCTGGCTGCCACCGTAACATGGTGTCTGATAAAATAGCATTTGAAATTGTTCTGCAGAACTACAGAGTGCCACTGGTACTGAGGAAAACTGCTTCAATTACTGAAAATTTGAGCCAGATCATTTAGAAATTGAAGAACTGTAACAGGGACAGTAAAACAATAGTTAAATAAGGTTTTGGTACCTTTTCATCAAGGCAAACAGAAGCTTAGTTGGATGATGGAACCTGATGTGTCCTTCGGCTGGCAAAGAGCTACTGAAAGCACATAAAGCATCACCTACTGCCTAATTCTTTATATCTCAGTACCTAATTTTGATACTTGAAGTGATGATTGATCATCTCAGATGAGAATCTGTTTATTACAGGGGAAAATTATTTCCCTTAAGTTAACACAGTCAATAGCAGGGCAGGATAAATAATCATCCCATCCCATCCTTCAGAGCAAATGAAGAAATACAGGTAGGTGTTTTCTCCTTTGAGTGACTGCTGACTCTACATTTAGCCACATTTTCAGATTAAAAAAAAGCTGCTCCCATAAACGTACAATCAGAAGTCCCTTCTTTTATTATGTACAGAAATAAAAGCTTATATTTGAACACTAGTGTGAACTATATATATTCAGTGTTTGAATCTAATGATAAAGATAGTATAAGAAAGAGGCAGATTGCTCTAGTAATTATATAAAACGCAGCAGTCATTTAACTCTGCAGTTGCAAGCTTTTATTTGGGTAAAGTCTTTCAAGTATATAGAAAATTTTCACATACAATGAGAATTTAGGAGGTATTTTGACAGCTTATATTTCCATTCCATTTTCTTTAATTTTTCATCTATAACAACTTTATATTGTTGAGATTCTTTTTTTTTTAATGTGATTTTCTTTGAAAGCTTTGCTCAAACATTCTGCTTAACTTTGGCAGCAAATGTAATCAAGTCATTTCTCTGTCTTTTATGCCTCCATGCATCAAAAAAACTACTGACAAAGTAAAAAAAAAAAAAAAATTAAAAATCTGGGTTTGTTTTTACATTAGCTTTAACTGAATTATAGCCACCTCTTTGACCCCAGCCCCTGATGGACTTCATCTGAAGTCTGCTGGAGACCATATGAAATTTTGAGGACTTTAAACAAGAATGAGGGGAGAGCCTTCAAGTCCAGGAGGGAAGTAGAGGTGCTTCAAGGTAAGCAGAGAGGCTTGGTATGTTCCTGAGTGAATCAGCCCTTCCTTCACCCACCTGAGCCATCCCCAAGGAGCAATTGTGCTCCCAGGGACGTGCAACACGTCTTGCACTGCAGGGAAAAACCAAGGATGTTCGAAGCTGGAAGCAAAGTACAAGATTTTCTCTAAAAGCTGTTTGTAAGAGTTTCCTTGCAGAGCACTTGCTAAGTGCCTGGGCCTGGGTGTTTAAACAAGGGCTGGTCTCGCACACACAGTCTCTTGTTCACGGCTAATCCTGCAGCGAGGTCAAATAACGTCAACCCTGAGTTACCACAGCCATCTCCAAGGCAACTGGCGAATATACAGTGTAAACACACGATTACAGATTCACTGTGCATCCAGGAAGGAGGAGGAAGAGGTGGACTGAAACAAGTCATGGTTCCATTGAAATCAGAGTAGTCAATGCTGAAGCAACACTGGGCAAACATATCAGTGTGAGCAAAGGGTTTGAAAAAATTTGGGTTCTTTCCCATTTTGCTTCTCCCATGCACCACTACAGTATTTTTTATTTAGGTAGTTTCTTCAAAACGAGGTATGAGCACAGAAGAGGTGTTATCCACATGGCTGCTTTACGTCTGAGATGTGACCTCTTCCCTTGCACCACAGCCCCGGACAGTGCAGGAATGGGACTACATTTCCAAAAGCTCCATTAAATCTTTATCTCATAGAAGCTGTATTTTGGGACAGCACCCATCCCTATCTAATATCACATGCCACAAGATCATGATTATACTGGGTAAAAAAGAACCAAAACAACCCATTATTACTAAAAGAACAACTGAGAGAAATTCCGTCTTTTCCCTTTGAATCACGAAGGGAGTCAGATTTCCCACTAACAGTGACAAAATGAGCCCCAGGGAGCCCCCATCAGTGACTCAGTTACATCTGGGGATGGCAGGAGAGGCAGTGCCTAGAGCATCACCCCGGTACTGCCTGGCAGCCACCACCCCGGCCACATCCCTCACTGCTCCAAGGACAACAGGGCCAGAGATGATAGGAAAGCATCGCTCCCGCCCGGAAATCCCACCAGGCACGCTGGTTCCCACATGGGCTGAAGGGGAACACTGAAGCTTTTCAGTTCCTTTCTTGGCGACACAGCCACGGTCCCCAGGGGGAGGTGAGGTCATTGGGAGCGGGGCTGGCAGAGCCCCACGCCCACCACACAAAAGCAGGGAAGGAGTCACCCCCTTCTTCCTCCTCTTCTGGGAGAAAATAAGCACTAATCTAATTGATTGCACGGGGCTCCAGTCATCAGTAGCCATAAAAAGACTTCTCTTCACAAGCCAACTGAACAACATGAACAGCACAAAAAAAAAGGAGGAAATGAAAAAAAACAAGAGTGGCCAACTTTTAGCCACTCATTCCCAGCAGAAAAAACTCTTTAGCCCAAATTTTACTCCACGTGCACCTCTCATAAAACAATACTTAGGAGGTACATAAAAAGACAAACCCAAGAAAAACACCTGATGGCTTGAGCTACACTGTGTATAGTGAAAATGTCAGGCGTTTTTCTCACACTAGCAGCAACATGCTGCATAGCAACAAGTCAGAATGAAAGGTTAATGGTAAGGACTGCAGCCTGGAACACACTCATTCCCACGGTCCTGAAGTCACCAAAGGGAAATGCTGCACTGATTTGTTTTGTTCTGCTGATGGCACAAAGGCTTAAGAAGAGCGGTGGGCTTTCGTGTGGCACCAAGCAGCACACATCCCCTGCCACTGCAAGAGTTCCAGAAATGCTCTACAGGTTTTAGGGGAAAGGGTTGTATTCCACCAGGACTACAGCAATGAACCTCACCAAGTCAAGCAGGTGATAAGCGTAGCTAGGACTATCCAGGCTGTACATCACTTGTACAACAGCATCTCTAACCTGGCAAATGCACCTTCCGCTATCTTTAATGCATTTAAAAGCTTTTCACCGTGTGTAAATGTAACTGTGTATTTTATACAGTAGAATCTCATAGTTAAACATTCAATAACTGCAATCTCAAAGTCATTTAATTCTAGCAAAATCAGGAAAGAGATTTTTAAAAGACAAAAGTAGTCACCCAAACCATTCCACTCCCTGTGAATGTGTAAATGAGGAATAAGACAACCAACAAAACAGTATTACATTCCAGTCCACTTCTATTAACCAAACGTCATAGACTGTTACACTGATATGCAAAGAAAGGCAATTGTTTACCAGGAGAAATTGTCTCCAGACTCCCAGGATTAATCTTTCTTGTGCTTGTGCAGTGTTGGACAGTTGATCCAGTGAAGACCAAATAAAAAACTACATCATCTTCAATTTTATCTTCCTCAGTCAGCTGCACTGTAATAACAGAGTCACCCTAGGAAAAGAACAAGAAACAAGGTTAGGTTTACATGACCAAGAATTGCACCATACCAAATAAAACTTCTCTACCTACAAGGCTCACGCTCTCTGTTCATACATACCTTTCACACAACTTGGGGCCCATCCTAATTTTTAGATATGCAAGTAATCCTTAGCATCACAGCTAGCCAACAGGGTAGAAAATATTTTGAGCCCAACTCTGGGAAGAGATATGTAGAAATCTCCAGGGTATATTCAAAAGAGCAACTTACTATGGTGAAATGACACCAAATATGAAAAATGCTTAATTTTAGGGTTTATTTCAGTATCTCAGTATATTCTATAGTTTTTCTCATCTTTGCTATCAGCAAAAATTATACCTATAAAGGACACACACAGTTATCATAGTTAACCCAGCACAGGACACAGTAAATACACCTGAAATGCATACATGTGCATGGAAAATAACAGGGCCAATAGCCACCAACTTCAGTTTTCAATGGAGAAGGGAAAGCAAAGAAAGAGGATGGCTCACAGTTACTACACGACTAATTTTCATTTGATCATAAAGCCACAGACTCATTTAGTTTGGAAAAGACCTCCGATATCAAAAAGCCCAACCATTAACCCAGCACTGCCAATCCCATCACTAAACCATGTCTCCAAGTGCCACATCTACAAGTCTTTTAAATGTCTCCAAAATCTCACCATACATCATTTATCAGCCTGAAAAATTATATAAACTATGAGACACTGGGAACAACAGTCTGTAACATGACCTTCTGCCCCTTTTCTATCAAGATCAAAACCAGCTGGATGCCCCAGTTTTACACTGCAGCTGTGGTTGCCAGCTCTCTGCCACCACCCCACTGAGCACATGGTTATGGCTGGAAATCTGGAAAAGATTTTATTATTATTATTATTATTATTACAGATTATGTAATTCTAATTTGCATATTCAAGAAAATACACATGTAATTTCCTTTAAAACCTTTTCCTTAAGATCACTCAGTTTGTCCCTTCTCTTTGTCAAACATAACTATTGCAGAAAATTCCCCGACTTTCCAGCCTTTCCATACAGCCCTGCCATGTTAGCATCACTTCCCATGCTCTGTCTCACATCTCCTCCCTTTCTCCCTCAGTTTCTTTTACTGTTCCTCCTCCAAGTTCATGTCCAGTTCTCCTCTGATCCAGCCTGTCTGGTACTCTAGCCAGGGGCAGGACTGCACCTTGTTTTGATAGAAATGAGGTTTTGCAGTACAGTACATGACCAGCTCCTGGTCTTAAAACCAAATATGTGGGTCAGTGCTGTAACACACAGGAAAGAAAACCAAAAAAAAAAAAAAAAAAAAAAAAAAAAAAAAAGATAAATAGAACACTGAGTCTAGTTTGCATTTTCAGAGGTTGTAGAGTCACAAATGTGCATTTTAGGAAGGTCTCACGCGATAATATCAGACCAGACTTCCAGCTGGGGAGAAAGGAACCATGTAGCAAGAGTATATCTTGTATAGAGTCAGTGTTAAAATAAAAACAGGTGCAAAAAGAAATAAATCAAGCTTTAAATTCAAGCATGACCAGTCCACACGCTGAGTTGAAAACTAAATATTCCATTTCAAGCAAATGGATCCAGTTTTGAGCTGATGTTCAAAAAAACAAAAGTTCAAGTTTTAACCTACAAACCCTTTGTGCTTTGGCTTTTTTATCCGACTTTGTTCAAGCCCTTTCTCCCTTAAGGCATGAACATAAAAGTACTTAGACTTAAAATGCAGGTGACATTTCAGAACACTCACCAACAGCACTGAGTGTTTAACATGATACCTGTTAAAGGAGATTTTTTTCTTTTATTTAACTCAGAAACCAAGTACAGCTAGTCCAATTGCTGTGAAAGGAAAGCAAATCCGCACAGAGTGCGACACCTGTCTATCCAGGCAAACCTCTCCTGTTTCTAGGAAAAGCAATTTAATTTGCATCAATATCACAAGAGATAATTTGCCTATTTTGTATTGACAAAAAACTAGTAAATACATGTAAGAAACCCCAACATCAGAGGTTCTGCATAACCTGAACTCTAAGCTGGGACTTACAAAACATATAGCTGAACTTCTTATATAGATACCTGACCTAATTTTGAAGGTGGAAGGTGGTCAGACCAGGTGACTTCCAGAGGTTCTTTCCAAGTAACTTGTTCCATTCTTTGTATTTTAATTCAGTTAATTTAAGGTTTCATTTAAGTCTAGGGGGAGCACAAATTATCAGCAGCTGATATTAATTGAAAAGGATCTTCAGCTGAGTCTAAGCAGAACTTTATGGTGGGATGGTCTCCTCCACCCTGCTTCCCACCTTCAACAAAGACTGTGGAACACTGAGCATCTTATTTATTGTTTTACTTGAATTTTTAAGTTGTCTCCAAATATCTTTGGTAAGACTGATAATGCGCTTTACTTTACCTACAGGTATCACCTGAGCTACCTCTCAGTTGTACTGTGCCTGGTGGAGCTCACTGTACCTGAGGTGACTGGAGATCCCAGAAGCAAAAGACCATCTTTCTTCAACACAGATCTCTGCCTCCCAGTTACCAACAATTTCATTGTTCACTGCCAATTTTAATTTGATTGTTAACTTATATTCAAACAACATATTTATTTGGAAAGGAAATAACACACAGAACAAACCCCACTCTTTCCAAGATCTTTGGAGTTAAAGAAAATCAGTTACAAATGCAGGCAAATTCCTCCAACCCACATAGAAGACTTTCCAACAGCCCTATTGCATTCAGCCTCCAAAAACATTTTAATTGAACTATGTTTACCTTTATTCATTTAATATTGTTCAAAAAAATGTCATCTGTTCAGTATCACTGCCACACAAGGTGGTTATTATAACCCTTCTTTCATCCTGAATGGCTAGAAATGGGAGGCCAGCCTGCCAATATCCCTTTGGTGAAAGTACAGACAGATCAAAGCCATTCTCTGGAATGCTCCAACAAATAAGAATAACTTAATTTCAAAACTAGTTTGGATCGACTAATATTTACTTGGCTTAAAGCCCATTGGAAATGAAAACATTCCATCTTGGTCCATTCATGAAAGAGGCCACCCTCTCCCTCGTTCAGATCTGAAAAATCTCTGGTCTCAGAGAGTTGTAACGGGATGTAAAGAAGGTGGATGTGGCTCTTTCCTCCAAATATATTCCCTTTTACAAACCAAAGGGAGAAAAAAGGTGGTCTGCCTCACCAAGGGATGGGTGCACTGGAAAAGCCAAACCTGATCTTGGGCTTTCAACCAGAAAACAATTCAGAAAGGGATTTTAGAGTGGCCCTACTCCGAAGCTTTGCCTTAGTTAAGGCAGTAGAAATACTATTTGCTCCAGAAAGGCCCAAATGCTGTTACTAGGACTAAACCCCAAAACTATCCAGACAAGGTACCTGTTTGTCAGCATATTTTGCTGGCATTAGCACAACTCCACCTTTTTAGGTATTAGTTTTTCCAATAGTGCAGTTAAAGGCATGTGGATTGTGTATAGGCAAAGCATGAGCAACTCTGAGTAAGCTGTTAAAATGGACTATTTACATTCAAAGGCCTTTTTTTTTTTTTAAGACCTCAGCAATATTTAGAAGTGACAATGAAGTGAACAAAATCTTTACACTCAAAAGAATTAAGATCACTTATCACCTTAAAAATAATATCCACCTTCCAAAAACAAATAATTGTTGTAAGCATGAAAAGACATCTTTCTTTTCCACTTCAGGATCTGGAAATGTCTGATTTTGGGGAATTGGTCATCATTTGGGACCATGAAAACAACCCTGACAAATGCAGAATTCAAGACTTCTACCTGAAAACCAAGTGTTTAGTTGGCAGTGGGAAAGGTTCCCTGAGGGATATCAGCTCTACCAGCAACAGGTAGACTTCTCTACAATCAACTATGAAGGGAAAAAATATTCTTAGTGTGCTGGTTAACAAATTTTAATGTTTCTGAAAACAAACAAACAAAAACCAACACAATAACCAAACAAAAAAAAAACCAAAACCACAAAAAAAGGCCAAGCTGTATTTTTATAGCTGAAGCATGTGATTTTTAAGCTGGTTTCCCCCCCCATGGTTCATACTGGGAATTTTGAAGTACATTACTTAAGCCACTAACCACCCACTGACCTCCACACAGAGTCTAAAAATACTTATGAAAATGAAGCTTGCTTTAGAGAGCAATACTTCAGCACTCAAGTATCGCTTTAACATTCTGCTTTTAATGAAAAAACACTAACAACCAGTAATCATTAATTTGTTCTAATCAGAAAAGCAAAATTTCTGCTGCCAACAACCGATAGCAAACTCTGGCTGTTTTTTTCATGCCAGGAAAACCTACTGAATGGAAAGTCCGTGGGTTAGGTGGGTTAGAAATTCACATGAAGGAAAGAAACCTTCCACAGTGTGTTTCCTTCTAAGAGTTGTTGTGGATGTTGGCATTATGATGCCTCATTAAAGAGGCTGGATCAGGTGCTGGATTAGATGAGTAAACACAGCCTGCCACTGTAACAAGTTTGGTTTTGTTTCCGCTACTCATAACATGAATCAGATCCTTGTTGGGTCATTGCTTATTGCATTTTTGTTTGTTCCCCTTTGGAAAGCCCTAAACAGCTCCCAAGAGGGCTCCAGTGTACACAGGACGACAGCACAAAAATCACAGCTGTCATTTCTTCCTCCTCCTTCAGTTCAGGCTCATTGGTATCTTTATTTATTCCTTTTTAGATGGAGTTGGACTTGCTGTTACCCCAGCTACCGCTCGACACAGTGCGCACAGGATCGGGCTGTAATTCCAGCACGAGGCAAGTCCTTTCACATCCCCATGCTTTGATTTTCCCCATCAATGAAATGGGAATCGTGGTTCAAACACGAGTATTTTTCATCCAAATGGCTTCTAAGGAACAGCTGGCTTTTCAATCATATGACGTTTTCTTTGGAAACCGACAATAATTAGGCTAGACAAAAATCAAAGGGAAAGTTGAGACAATTCCAC